TTTCACTATTATTATATCAGTCTAATGCATTCCTCTTGACCTTTACGTTCTGTTTTGTTCACTCTACACACACATTCGGTATATGAGGAGTGTCCTTTTCATGATGCTGGGAATGGATGATAGCATGGCGCGCGCTCTCGCTGCTTTCGTCGTCGTGCTACCCCCGTCGTGTCTCGCATGTGTCGCGGTCACCGTCTTCTTCTGTCGTCATCGAATCATACTACTGCTCTCACCTCGCTAGTTGTTCGCTACCTCTCTGTTGTCTGCTGTCCACATCTGTTCTGTCTCTCGTCCACTCTGTCTTATCTGCTCATCTCTCATCTCTGTCTCTCTCTCTCTCTCTTTCCGGGTCTCCCGTCTCCGGGTCCCACAACTGGTCGAGGCCCAGATGAACCACACTAGCAGCCGACAGGGTTCCGTTCCGAGGTTCTCTGCCCGTTAAAACCAGGCGAACGTTTTCCTATGCCCGCGGCCCGAAGCCTGCCTTGCTCCATCGGTCGGTCACTGTTTGGGTCTCTGTAAATGTCTATAAGGAAGTTCGGGTCTCACGACTGCTCTATTCTGAAAAGTGTCCCTGAGGATACCACGTTCTGTTCACTCTCAATTGCGTCATACCAACAAATAAAATTGAATTGAATTGAATTGAATTGAATTGAATTGAATTGAATTGAATTAGGTACACATGCAAGTTTTACCACACCAGCTTATAAATAAAGCACTAAAACAAAACAAAATACATGCTTCTTTTATTCTAACCAATTCTTTGGTTGTGGCTCTATACCAATCACATACATTTTGTATATATAATTTTTTTATCTGTATTTTATGTGGTAGTGGTGGTATCGGTCTTGCTGCAATGAACCAAAACTGCTGAATGCAAACACCATTTGTGTTGTTTTTTTATATCACAGCCATAAACACAGCACCTCTAATCTACAAACAACATAGTACTTTGAAACAACAAAAGATTTAGAGCATAAAGATATTACAAGTAATTTAGTTTTCATAACAGCATGACTTGTAAGCCGTTAGATTAACCGGTTGGTACAAAAATTAAGAAAACATCCAGAACGTTTATTTCACTGTGTAAATGAAGCATCATAAGGGGTTTTTTAAAGGTACTATTAGTAAGATATGGCTCTTGAGAACATACAAGTAGTATTGAGATATCACTGACAACTATTAAACTTACCATCTGTTAGACAACTGACACAGTACTGCAGAGATAAGACCTGAGGCTGCACATTGGAGCTACTGGGGATTTTATGCAGGTGGTTGAACAACTGGTTTAATCACACAAACTACTTTTTTAGATGGTTGTCATTTTCTTTTTTCCACCTTCATGTGTTCTTTTTTCCAACTTCATGTGTAAAATGCCCATTTCAATGAATGTAGTATGAATACTATTTTTATAGGGTTAGGGGTCTCATTGCTGGGTAGGGAAACCAACAGCTATCAGATCCAGTTGATTAGCAGGTTTGTAATATTTGTCATCCCACATATTGAAATGGGGGGAGGCTGCCTCCAACATTTTCTATTACTTCCTGACGCCAAATATCACACCAATTTCACACTGCAGCTGTGCAAAGGTGAGAAAGTAAGCAAGATTTGACCATGGTGGTATATTATTTATGGTACACCAGTTAGAGGTTATTTATTGTGCACACTGATGGAAACTGAGGTAGTTGACAATAGTTTTTGTATAAATTGTTTTCTTATGTGTCATAACAATACAATGTATAGTAAGAATTTCCAATGTTGTGGAGGTAAATTGTTCATTACTGTTTGAAGGCACAACTAGTGACTGTTGTGTGTCTTATATTACAATATCCATCATATGACTTGCTATAGTGTCATTAACTAGTAGAACTGTTTTTGCTTTACAGTTCCGCTGAAGTCACCAACCTTCCTGTGCAAACTAATCTAGGGAAGATAGTTGTAATGTAGGTGTAAGAGTGGTCGTTAAAATGAGACTTCCTGTGAAAATCATCATTATTTTGTGATGTATTTCCTGCTCGAACAGCTCAATGAGGGGTCGGTCTTGAAAGTACAACAATGGAGTTATTTTTATGGAGAGTAAGGCAGAGAAATTTGATAGAATGGTCAGGAAACAAATATGATGACTGTCTAGGTTGCACTTAGTTCCACTCTCTAATACAGCATGACGACACTGTTGTTTGCATCACCAGAGAAGTTCAGGTGCACATTTAATTGGCTTTAAGATGAAGCTTATAACAAAGATAGTTTGATGTGATCAATTACAGTTGTGAATGATCATCGGGGAATGGTTCCAGTGGCACTGTATGTTCTGTAAAATGTAATGTTTCTTTCTTGTTAAATGTTTCAGTTACAGTTAAAACAAGAACCTCAAACAGCCTGCGTTCACTTGACAACATGTTTTGCTAAATGTAATATGATGGTGGTGTTATATATAATCATTACAATATAAACTACAATTGGGAGTCAAAATATTTTTCATCATAAAATTACCTAGCCAGATAGATCAGTTGAAAAAGTCTCAAAATGTATTTGTATTTGTTTGTACTTTTACTCGATAACTGACCTACAAAAAAGTCAAAGCTGGTAAAGTAAATTTTCTTTATCAATTAATAATTTTAACACTAATACATTTAACACTAAGGTCCAAAAACAAAACATAAATAAAAATAGATGGCGCAAAAGCACATAGCAATACAGTCTGACTTTGTGGAGTTCTACACTTGTTGCCACTCCTAGCTGAGGCCATTCAGTGTAACAGCACGAACACATAAAAAATAATGATGGCCTTTCAGATACAATTAAAGATTGGTCCTGTGGTGGAGGAGATTCTTACAGTACAGGCAGCAGCAGCAGCAGCAAAGCACACGGCAGTGGCCCGTAATTAGACCACCCACTGAAGTGCAGCGAAATATGATGGAAGTCAGAAATTACTCTTTTCAGTACCACAAAATACAAAGCAATAGGATAGATGGCATCAATGGTGCGTGGCCGCTGCATCTGACATCATTTTATTTACAATGCCATACAGTTGTGGAGACAGAGAGACAGAGAGAGAGAAAATAGACCTCTAAAGAACAACATTTAATTGTTGGGTTGACTTTCCTCTTTGGACTCTAATGTAAAGCCTAATGGAATACTCATGTCTGCATTGCCAATTTAAGGGTTTACGCTTAAAATTGGCAAGACGTTAAGATGAGGCACTGCCTAGAACTAGGGCTTCAGTGTGTAACCAATATTTCAAATAGTAACCACATCATGCTTCAACATCAGATAATTGATTGTCTCTTCCTTGGGACTCCAATGCAATATAATACAGGTTTGTTTGGGTTATTCCTGGGTAACATTGTTGACACTCAGTTATCCCACGCCTGATACACTGACGCTCCCAGAGAACTAACCCTGTCTGATTCTTCACCATTACTGCCTTTCTTATTAATAGCTGCGAGTTCTAATCCTCGATCTGAAAGCCTTCTCTCTGAGTGGACCACAACACACCCCACCCTTGCGTTCCTGTTAACCTCTGCTGTCTCAGTCAATTTGTTGTCGTTATGGACTCGATTTCTCAGGCCCAAGACAAGATGGTTGTTATTGCCAGTGCCATCTCTGAAGTTAGTAACTCTACCAGGTGCTGGCACAGACCTTTCTTTTCGGCCCCACCTGGCCACCCTTCTCCACTGCTGGCACTGTATGAGGCAACAGAAGGGCCTGGACTTGCACACCGCCTGGAAGCCCCTCCGAAAGTTCTCATTGTAGTAACCATAGATGATGGGGTTGACGCTGGAGTTGGAGAAAGCCAGCCAGTGGGCAAAGGGGAAAATGTAGCTGGTCAAAAGGTCAAGCTGGTGTCTGTCCAAGCCTGCGTAGTCCGTCATCATCATGAGGGTCCAGAGAGGCAACCAGGACAGCATGAAAAGCAAAGCCACGAGTATAAGCATCTTTATCACCTTGATCTTTTTCTGGGATATCATTGGCTGACCACCCCTTCTACCCCCAACCTGGACTGTGGCATTGGCCAACTGTGGCTCTCTGTTTGCAACCACAGAGGAACACAGTTTGATTCCGATGCTTCCGTACATCAGTGTGATGATGGTGAGGGGCACCAGGTAGATGTGCGCAAACAGGACTGCTGTGTAGACCTTCCTCGTCTGAGGGCTAGCAAAGTTTTCATAGCAGGTGTACAGGGGGAATGTTTGGTTGAAGTCATCATTGTACACCATGTAGTGGAAAGGAACTTTGTCCACAGTCAGTGCCACAGCTGCTGGACACATGATCACCACTGCTAGAACCCAGATTAACACGATGGCCGCCTTGGCAACAAGTACATTCAGCTTGGGTTGTAGAGGGTAAACTATACAGCGGAACCTGTAGGTTAGTAAAAAATAGCACTGTCAATGTAAATTCCCATCTCAAATCAACAGAGCCTAAAGTCATGTTTTTATAATTAAAATTTTGTTAGCCAGTCGTAAAACAAATCCAGTGGTTCAAAGTAAAGCAAACAAATACTTATATAAGAAGCTGTAATCACCAAATATTTGTATTTTGAGCCATGTTAGCAGAATGGCTCTGGGTAGGGCAATGTTGATATCTATGTAGTTGATGGATTGCTATAAAATGTGGTACAAATATCAATCTTGCCCTCGGGATAACCTGTATTAACTTTGGTCTTCCCATAACCTTTTAACATCAGGCCAAGTTTTGTCCAGATTTGGATTTCCAATATTTTGTTTTATAACCAAATCACCTTCAAAACTAATGACATCCCCATCATCAGTTGTACTTTGTGTTTAATGCTAAAAAGCAATGTTGATTGCTGTATATGGTGAACATGTTAAACACATGGATGTATAAGAGAGCTGAATACGGTGCTGCCACTCATCCTTGCTGCCAATTTGTCCCAGTGGCTATCAGTTGTACTGCAACAGAAAAATCCAGCATTTTCTCCATATTCCACCATTATAAAATAGAATTATACTGTTGATAGGACACCTCCAACTGCAAACAAGGTCAGTTATTACTCTATCACAGACTTTTAGCCCATTGAGGTTTTTTTTAAGTGTTAAACTTTCCCAGATCTAAGAAAAGATATTTTTATTAGCATGATGTTATCACACTGTAAAGTCTATCAAATCAAGTGAAGTTGGGGTGCCCGGATAGGGTTCTAATCCTACCTCTGGCCCTTTGCTGCGTGTCATCCCCTCTCTCTGCCCCCCTTTCCTGTCTGTCTTCAGCTGTCACAATCAATTAAAGGCAATAAAAGCAAAAACAAACTACTGTTTAAGTAATCAGTAATGAATGAGTCGTTACTTTTGTTTTGTGCTGTTCATTGGTTGGTTCAGAGTTAATCAGGAAGGATTCATGAAGAAAGCGGTCTGTATGATTCACAGATATTCAAGAACTAATCATTCCTAGTGATTCTACTCAAAATTTTGTGTCCCTTCTTGTTAAAGGTGCACTATGCGATCCTGCATGATGTCGCTTCTGTTGTAACCCCTCCCCCATGTTTCCGTAACTGTCATGAACGCGCATGGAAATCAAAAGTGGAGTTGTGCTACGCTAACGTCGCTAAGATGGCTGA